ATCAGTTTTAACTGGAAAATTCTCTCAAAGTTTCTTTCTTCACTAAAATTAAAGGATGTGTTCTGATGAATATTGCCATATCTTGGAAGTAATTTCCTTGGACCTGGAGACCTTTTTTTTTCTGCAAAGCAAGTTGCTTTGTAGTGCTGCTAGTCAGCATTTTGTACGGCTTTGGGCCGTAGCCTGAAGTTGTTTACGAAATCTGTTAGAATAAAAAGAATGGTGTGTGATTTTTTTAATATGGATGATACTTTTAATCTTTCCTCCCATTTAAAAATGAAGAAAACACTTAAACACTTTGCTCAAATTTGAGCACAGCAACTTCCAGTGTCAAAAATTAAGGTGTTAGGCTGAATGAAAAAAAGTGACAAGAGAATGAAAACAGGTGTGCAAATAATGACAGCAGTTGGTCCTGCTCCCTCCAAGACAAGAATCTGTGTTCATTTATTAATTGAAAATGTAGATTTATTTTCCAGTTTAGGTATGGCCTCAAAGACAGTGTGAGTAGGGCTGTCACAATAAGGGCTAAAAATATATACTTAATAAATAAAAGATGATTTGATATTTTAATTTTGATGCATAATTTATGTAAAAAAGTTCCAAAGACAATTTAAACTCTGCTTGGAAATGACCGCTTCTGGTAGTTTGAGTCCATTGTTGGATATTGTAATTCAGTTGTCTGAGAAAGCTCTAGTAGCTTTAAAAACTTCCTGCTATAAATTAATTTGGAATGTTACTATATTACTGTGTGATCTGCATATTGTTCGTATATAAAAATATAATTTATTAGTTTTGTTTGTTCAGGGTGAAAGTATATTTAAAATAGAGTATGACAGCAGGCAGTTTTGTAAACTCTTCAGTGTCGTGTTGATGGCTATATAACATACTGTGGCAGTTCAGAGTGAAACCCATAGTTGCTTGTGCAGCCAGCTGCAACAAATAAACATGTTTTACTGCCTGCTATCATATTATGTTTACAGCACAGCAGACTGGTTGTCATCAGAGAAGCTTGGATGAAAACTTTCTGGTGAAATGATGTAATTGCTAATCTGGTGAGAATTATTTTGGTAGTTTTATTTCTCATAAACTTGTGTCCTTTCATCTGATGCTTGATACAAATTTCTAACCGCATTGTACATCTAAATTAGTTACAAAACAATGGCTGAAGTAGGGGCTGCCAGTTTTTTAAGGCTGCCTTTTTTCCATCCTCCAAATCAACCAAGAAAAACTGAAATTGGGACCTTGCCCTTGCCCATAACTCCTTGAAAATCACATGGCAGTGAATTGCAGCGATGTGACTGCTGTACTTTGCTAGTAGGTTTGGATGCACACCAAGGTTTTGGGGGAGATTGTTACTGTTCCTGCCTACTGAGTGCATGGGCTGAGTTGTACTGCTGGTGTTAGTGTAATTCCTGTGCTGGAGATCTGCCGCTGCCGTAGGTGGTGTGAAGTGGTGGGTGCCTCGAGCCTCCTTGATGTCAGCTGGCACTTGAGGGTGCTTAGCGCTTTTCCAGGGCAACACATACGTGTTTTGAGTCATAAGCAGGAGGCTGTGGAGGTCGGGCATGCATGTGTTGTGTTCTTGTTGTCGTTCCCCGGTGGCTATGGAGCAGGTGAGCAAGTTGATTGATCGGTGTGAGTTAGTGCTTGACAATCTTTTGTCGCTAAACTACACATCAGTCATTATTACGCAGGGCAGTCTGGTGTTGCAAGCGCATCTTTCATCCTGCAGAGTGTTCCTGCCCAGAGGCTCACTTTTGCTGATCAGAATGGATATGACTTTTTTCCCAGCGAAGAGCTACCAAGCACTTGATGGGTTATTTGTCGTAAAATATATCTTTTGTAGTCAACTTACTGCTGCATTGCTTTTTTTCTGCAGGCCTCATTGTTCAAGAGGAGCTTCCTGAATATTTGCCTATTCTCTTTCTACGCCATTCTTTTATGCTGCCCCAGTTTGACAGTGTTACTGACTTTCACGGGTGTGAATCCAGTGCGTCACAGCACTCTGGCTTTCAGGTTATTGAGAGTAATAATTCACTTTGGACTTTCTTCAAAATAAGGCATCTCCCAAGGAATTTGTCAGGTTTGCAGGAGGGAGTTGCATAGGTAATCTGTGTGTAACGTCTGTGTAGCAGTGAGGTAAGGCACTGTTTGTACGCTTTTGGAGTAATGCTGAGCTAGCTCTTGTGTTGATACCATACGTGCATTGTAAGCATAGCAGAAGTCAGTAACACCTGAAGGAGTTAATGGTGGTGAGGTCATTCAGGGCACAAGGTGGCTGAGCGGGTGAGCTGTAGCCTGGCTCTCACCGGGGTCATGGAGGGAATTTTCTTGCATGTAATTTACATTCAGGAAGAAACAGTAGTAATTGGCTGTTAGCTATTTATGCTGAAGGAGAACAGTTATGGGGACCTAAATGGCTAAAAGCTTTTGGAATGAAGTGAGAGACCTTTCATAGACAGCTTGTTCTTATGAACTGAAATAGTGTTCATGTAGTTACATTGTTGGTGAAGGTTATGTTTCCTAGGTAAAGCGAAGCAGTCCTTTTCTTTCAGTTGCTGTCAATCATAAGTGAAAATGGAGTCATGTTCAATGATATGGTCATTAAGCGTTTCTGTAGAAGTCATGTAGCCATGTGTTGGCCACAGGTTCGATATGTATCTGCCTAGACTTTCCACTCACTGATTTTATGTGGGCAAAAATACGTGTCTAGGTAGAGAAGACTCAACTTAGGCAGGCAGAGCAGAAATAAACGTTCTTTTCCTTCCTCATCTGCCTTTGTAGTCAAGTCCTTCTAGCAAACTGCATGATTCTCTCAGTGGCAGGACTCTGCTCATTTTTTTTGGTATCTAGGAAGTCCCTTGTCTCCTCTGCCTTTTAGCTGTTTGGTCCATGATCTCCCTGTTGTCTCTGAATAACCTGCAGGCACCAATATCCTTGTGATGACTCTTTTGCCTGACAAATTTTACCGCCACTGAAGAAGCAATCTCTTGCCTTCCTCCAAGGAATCCACCTCCTCTCATTGTTGTACAGGAATGTATTGCTGCATACCAAGGGCTGAAAGTAAATGAGTGCAGCCTGTGAGAGCGGGGACTAGGCAGTCCACCACTCTGGTATGGGAGGAAGTGAACATTTAGCAGTGAACATTTTTCTGGTACAGTTTTTGTAGCAGGACCATCAGCTTTTACTAAAAGTTGCTGAGAAGCGTGGTTTAGACGGAATTCTCACTCCTGAGCACCACTGCTATAAAGTAACCAAATTTATCTTAAGTGTTTTACTATAAACAGAGTGGAAGTGCAAACTACACTTTCTCTGTGTGTTTCAGCAGGCCTTGCAGGGACATGTGGAGTGTTAAAAATGTTTTCTGTTGCTTTTTGACCATAAGAAGGTAGGCTGTCTGCTTGTAGTGTTCTTTACCTCTAGAAACATGTCTTTTATTGCTTGTGTGGTATACTTCCTTGATGCTTTCTTCCAAGGAGGTAGCTGTTGTTGAGGAGTTTAGTTAGGAGGAGGTTCTAGTTGTCTTCTCTTCCTTTCTCCTGCAGCTTCCTGCGTTATCAATTAAATATAGCAGAAAACGCTCTTTACTCCGACTGTTCCACCAGCAAAAATAGATTCCACAGAGCTCAAAGGACATCTGTGTATGTAGTAGACTTGTAGCATGAACTAGCTTTCAGGACTATGCTTGCAGCATACCGAGCACCCAGTGCTCTTGCTGGCACCACCCAGAGCCAAGGCAGTGCTTGTACTTTGTGCATCAGTTTTGAAAAGCAGAAAGAAGCTGTCGGGTAGGCACTGGAACTTCTCATGAAATTTTAAAGGCAGAAGTAGCCTGCTGTGGGCATGCTGCAGGCAAAGGAGCCCGTAAGGACACAGAGGGACTTTTCTTACAGGTTAAGTTTGAACCAGTTAACTTCTTCATAACTTTAGGGAAGTAGAAGGTCATGTGAGAAGCTAGCTGTTGGTGGCAACAGGGGAGATTAGCACTTCTTACTGATTTAAGAAGCTGTCAGTATAATGCTGAGGTTTCCTGGCATACAACTATACAATGCATGAAAACGGTAATATTCAGGAGAGCCAACATGCTTAGGCCTCCCTCCCTTAGCTACACAGTGGTGCTTCTGAAGTCCTGTGCCTGCCACATTCAGACCCTGAGCTGCGGTTCAGGCTTAGTTTCCCATGTGATACTGATACTCCTGAATTCTCCTTTGGGTGTAATAAACCATCTGAGTTCCCTGAAATGATTTGAGAAGTGATCAGCGGCATTAGTAACCTTAACTTTGCTCCGTTTTGTAGAACAACTTAGTGGTTCCCTTCTCTCCTTGAAGGAGCTTATAGCTGCATCTCTTGCCTTCTGTTTGGGGAGCAGTGTCCTGTGTGTGCCGGAGGAGACGCGGTGCCCTCGGGGCCAGAGGGTGGCCCCAAGGTCACTACGCACAGGGTGGGGATGACTGCCGCTGTTACGTGAGCTCTCCTCCAGGAGGAAGGGTGTACTGACTTACCTAGCCCAGTGCAAAATACATGGACAAGTCCCATGAAGAGTGCCTTGTCCTCTAGCGGTACTTCTGCTCCTGCAGCTGAGGAGCTGGTGCTGTCACGGTGTGGCAGGTATGTTCTGACCACGTCATTCAGGTTTGGCTTCTCAAGAAAATCAGAGGCCAGAGCTACTACTGGTAGGTCCTCAGTGTGCTGGAGTGCACGATGGCATCAGGTGATAGAAATCCAGGTCTGCTGAGGTGGTGGCAATTCTGGGTGGGTTCAGTCTCAGGGGTTTACATGCTGTAGGAGCAGTGCTGGTGAAAGCGTAGTGGCTTTATGCCTCTCAAGTGCCTGGCAGATTAGGTATCCAAATGCTTTGATGATCTGGGGTTTATCATTGAAGTGCAGTGAGTTTTATTGTCGGTTTATGGTTTGGGAAACTGAGGCGTAGTGTTCGTGTGACTTTATCTGAACGAGTGAAGGAATTGTATTCTTCTAAATTTGACCCCAAGAGAAATCTGCTCTTCTATGTGTCAGTGTATCAGTACCGTTGTATCATGTACGTGACTTCAGATTATTCTTCACTGGCTCTGTACCTGAAGGTGGCTTCATGGTTTCACAGAGGCTGGTGGATACCACCTGTGAGCCCTGGAAGTCGCTGATTTTAGCAACATAAACCCTCCCTGTCGTTTCTGTGGTACATTGTGCAGTGGTGGGACTTGAGCCAGCATCGGCATCGCTCTGCTAGGTGGATGAGAAGGTATTCCAGCCATTAATTATCCATACTGGAAGAGAAGATAAATGTCACTGGTTCCCTAAATACTTGGGCAACAAACCAACTATAAGCATGTAGAAGTACAGTTTTGGGGATGGTGTGCCGTTCGGATAAATGAATGCATGAAAGTTGTTACTGATGATTGATCCTCTACTTAAAAAAATTTAAAGATCATTCATAATTTAAACACATGATAAATAACTTCATCTTTTGTTTTTAGTTGATGTCCATCAGCGTATTAGGTGTTTCTGCTTGGATGAGAGACTACCTGAATAATGTTCTCACTTTAACTGCAGAAACAAGGTAATGCTTTCCTTAAACCTATTAATCTGTGTGGATGATTCATTGTGGTATATGTTGTTCATTCTGTATGGCAAGTTTCCTAATTAGGATTTCTAAAATTAAGAAGCCTTCAGTTGAGCTAATTATTGTTTTGTTGAAAGGTGTATTTCTGGCATTAGTTGAAAATTAGAGAAGGGGGAAAGATATGAATTTCATCTTGTTTTATTCCTGTGCCTTTCTCTTCCGACAGGGATCAATTTTTGGCCCCTTGCCAACATGTAGCCATATTATATTACTGCTTAGTTTTGAATACTTTATTCAGTCCAGAGATTTAGGAATGCTGTTAGTTTTATTACAGCAGTGCTTATGAGCCCTAGTGATGGAACAGGGCCTCATTGTGCTACATACTGTGCAAGTGCAGGACAGGAAGATTGCCTTTGCTCCAAAGAGATTTCGGATAAAGCATTACTTTCTGGTACCTGAATGCAGCATTTGACTTTAAAACCATGAAGAAGAGATTTCTTTGAAATGTATAAGGCACTGGAAATAACACACCTGCTAAACCACTGTTTTAATTTTAGTGGCTATATTATGTTTTTCTGCTGTATCATTTTTGTTTGATTATGCTTTTTTTGATTTTGGTTCTAACTGGTTTTAGGGTGGAGGAGGCCGTCATTTTGACTTACTTTCCTGTGGTCCACCCAGTCATGATTGCAGTCTGCTGTTTCCTCATCATAGTTGGAATGCTGGGCTACTGTGGAACAGTGAAAAGAAATCTGTTGCTCCTTGTCTGGGTACGTTTCATAACCTCTAAAACCAGCTAACTTCCGCTTTGCTTCAACAGCGTAAGAAAAGTTTTAATCCACAGGCACTAGATAAATACTGATTATTTTTTATTACCATGTTGAGTTATGATATCGGTGAGGAATTGTAATTGCAAAGCACACAGTGGGGAAGAATTTATTGCCGAGACTGCATTATGCTGTGACTGAAAGACAAGCAGCGTCTCATTTGCAAAAATCCACTTCATTTAGTGGAGGAGTTGCTAAAGGGAAAAATAACTCAAGCTCTTAAGTACTAATAATTATCGGAACGTGAGTCTGAGTGCTATGAAATAAACCCTTATGCTACCCTTTTGACTCTTGGCTGTGCAATAGCTAAATTTTTTTGCTTTGCTTTATCCTCACAGTTGACTGCGTGTGTAAAGTAACAGCATTTGTAGCTGATGAAAGTTAATTCTGAGTGCACTCAGAAGCTTTGCCTTTTCTTAGGTGGATGTGGAACCTTGCAGTTGAATTTAGTTGTGAGCAAGTTTAAAAATAAATTCCAAATACCCAACTTTTTCCTTGTGTTTGGAGGCTACGTAACTGAGCCAACAGCAGCTGAAAAGCCTCTCCTGTACAAGGCTCTAGGTACAATTTAACTGTGATGCAGCTTTGACTGTCAAGGGAGCCAAATGCCTTTTTCTTCATTTGGAAGTCAGTGAGTTTGAGGGCAATTAAAAAAACAAAACAAACAAACAAACAAAAAAAACCCCAAATCAAAAAGCCCATCAAACCTGCACAAATTCTGAAGGTGTAGAGTTTAAAAATATTTAGACTATTGGCAACGCTGAGATCAAGGAGTGCCATGTACCTGCATGCTTCTTAGAAAGTGAACTGGTAACATGAGGGTGAGCTTGTCTTTTAGCATGAGGAGGAGCAGGATTCCAAGCAGTTTGTAAGCGTCAGATAGTGGGAGCAATGGATGTGAAAGAGGTGTATCAGACTTGACTACCATAATTGCAGCAGGAGAAAGTGGACAGGTAAAATCCTTCAGCTCTTGAGAATATCCAGGAGGCTTACACAAGTAGAGTTGGGCTCCTGCTGTTTTGTCACTGCAGTGGGTGTTGGGTTCTTCCAAAGTGCATATGGTTGCATTTTTCTTGTGGATCTGTGCAGGCTTAAGTATGTGATACCTGGACATCACAAATTTTGCACAAAATGACCCAAAGAAAAGTGAAAACTGGCTGAGATTTATGCAACCTTTGCTTTTATCTAATAGGACATATTATAACTGCAGCTAAAATAGTCGTGAAACTGTACTGGGGTTTTGTATTAAGATGTCTTTTTTATTTGAGAGGGTTGGAGTAAGCTTTATTTGAGATTACCAGCTGAAGGTCTGCAGCAGAAGTGTCCCTCAATTGCAAGAGAGCAAATGCTGTTTCTCCTTTTGGATATTTGTTAAGCCTGTATACAATATGAAGATTGTTGTTTCAAAACTGTATAGTTAGGAAAAACTCTCAATTATCTGAATACTTTATAGTAATACAATAGTAATGCATTTTTTATTTCTAGATCTTAACCTCGCAATGTTAAAGTCAATGGGAACAAGTTCTGACACAGATGTTACTTAGTTGTGAGCACTTGCATAAAAATATGTATTAATGTGATTTCATACCATACAATTATTTATCTAGTAACCTTTCTTACATACTTTAAAGGGTCTTTGTACATATATTTGTTTTGCATAAATAGTGAAAGTATTAAAATATGGTAAACTTATTAAGCCCTTAGCTTCTATGGTAACTTTATAAGATTATTTTTGTAAAATGTTTTTTATTCTATGGTGGTGATTGTTTTTAATGTGAATTAAAATTAATTAAAAGGCAAAAGTAACTATATGATGTAGACTAGTGCTACACAGTATTTGGAAAAAAAAAAAGTTATAGTTTTTGGTATAAGCCTTGAAAAAAATCATAACTAATTAAAACGAAAATGAAGTTAAAACTGGTTTTGACCTTTAGTTTATTTAAAATTCCAGTGAAAAGAGGAAATCATTTATAGCTTTCAATGCCATCTGGAAATAAATTACTTAAAGTGTGTTTAGGCAGTCAAATTATACTGAATCAAAGCAAGACATTTCTATCATTTTAAATTGCAATATTTCATTTTCAGGAGCCTGAGAATTTGCTCTTTCTAAGCAAACTGATAAGCAAACCTAAATGATATCTTCCTAAGTATGCCATTGTCTTTGATTAATTGTTAAATGAATGCAATTGTGTTATACCACAGAAGTATGCAGGCGTAAGTCAATGCTTCATTCATCAGACTAATCAGAAAAGTGATGAATCAACAAAATGAACTTTTGTACAACCAGATGAACTAAAAGAAAAGAACCTTCATGTAAAACATTAACAACCTCTTCAATCATGCTTTTAATCTTCTTTTTGAAGTACATGAACAGCCGTAATGATGGCATGCAGAGATATTTGGATATAAACCTTGATGTTCATGGCAGCATACTAATTGCTAGTACTAATGTTGTTAATTAAATTGGATTTTTAGAAAAATTTAATAAAGCATAAGGACCATAAAATATATATATTATGGTGTTAGATATTTTTAATACAACTGAATACATAATTATTTTCATTTGTTTTTGAAATTTTATCTTGCAGTTAAATGCTTGAAACCTTCCCAGTGTCAAATGGGGCATAAATATAAATTGAACTAACGTTTACTCAGCTTAATAGTAAGAAGATATAACAGCTTAGTCTTCTGAGGTGCATTCTCTGGTTTATTTGTAGAACCAGCATTTTAAAACTATGATAATTTAATTTTAATTGCTTCAGGAACACATAGGCCTGAAGGCTAGTTGGTATAAAGAGCCTGTACATACCTTAAGTGTCTATAATATATTTATATTTTTATGTCGTGAATGACCAACGTCCTCAGGTAGAAAAGTGGCTGTGATGCCAGCCTAAACTGGAAGATCTGGACTCTTTCAAGTCACTGACTTGAGTGTACAAAAAGTCCAAGGATGAGGAACTAGAGTCCAGGTTTCCTGGTGCTTTTTACAGTTTTTCAAACAAGATTTTTTAACTTATTTTTTTTTCAAATCCAGAACCATCCTTTGCCTCTTCTCTTCTGAGGCTCTGTACACTTTGAATTGTTTTTAAAGTATGTTGTGCACATAGCCTAACTAAAAAAAAAAAACCCCAACAATAAAACCTGAAAATAAAACACACGTGCATATATTCTTTAAGATTAATATCCTTATGGGTGTGTAAATTTTTTTTGAAGTTCTTGTTTTATTAAGACAACAAGAATAAACTCTGTTGCTTGACAAGAAGACCTTCATGAAAATCCCAGTAGAAAATATTTTCCTGGCTGGAGTTTTCATTGCAAATTCTGGCATTTATAACTATGTGTTTTCTATAATTACAGCATTCAAACAGCAGAGGGTTCAAATTTGTCTGCATATGTTTTCAGAAAGGGGAAAATTGTTAGAAATATTTGATGGTCAATAGGGCAAATCCTTTTACTGATTTTTATCATAAAGTTGGCAGAGAAATAAATATTCCTCAGAGCTAAACGTTAGACCCTGTTGGTGTGTGGTCAAACAGCTTGTTAATTCAGTTATGGCAGAACCTGGTTATAAATTGGAACTTGGCAGTCTAAATTTTCTGTTAATTGAGTTGAAACACAACCAGACAAACCATTATTGAACGAAACTGGTCTTTTCTTTAAAAGCAGGCAAATATTTCATAAAGAGAAAAGATGAAATGATACTATGTTTTGGTTGAAAAGGTAAACTGGAGATACGTAACAAACCTACCCTGAACGTGGCTGGTTCATGTCAGTAGTTCTCAGCCAGCTAAATACAGTGTTGATGAAAGTGGTTTCTGTGAAGTCCATCTGAAAAATGACTAGGAACTACTGACAGTATCACCTCTTGGGGCAGATTCTTCTGTACCCATACACCCACTTCAGTCCACATGGATGCAGAGGTGATAGGGGTGATTAAATTTGGATATCTGCAATGTTGCTAAATATCAATAACCGCTAATGTCTTCCTGGACGGCACTCTTACTCTGTGTGAAATGTTAGCTGCTCCACAGTACCGCAGCACCAACTAATCTGCAGTACTTGTGTCTACATTTGGCAAGAATTAGTATGAGAGGTTTAGTGGCAATTAATTTTTTGTCATCTTTTTTTGTGGCAGCATGTATTTCTGCAATAATACGTAATTTAGGTAATTTGTTCTGTAATAATAAAGGATATTTGTCTGATCCATGTGGACTCTTACCACAGTCACAGCTGCTCCAATACCTTGTACTAACATTTGGCACTGGAATTGTTATTTACCAACCAGAAGTATTTCTTCGTTATTTAACTACGAAGCATTGAAAGGGAAGAAATAACTGACAAACACACTTGGTGTAAACCTGTGCAGTTTAGAATTAGACAGGACAGAGATTGAGTTCATTTTCATATTTTGTGCCTTTTATCAGCAGCTCATTTCCGAATGTGATGTGAGCAGGAGGAAAACAGAGATTCTCAAGACAGGTTGGCTTGCCTTGTTCAAAGACTGGTTTAAGTGTGTTTATAATACTGTAGTACAGATTTGACGAGAAGACAGTACTGTGCTAAAACTCAAATTCAGATATTCAGTGGGTAAGTAAGGGGCTGGACATTTAGCTTGCATTTTGGAATGCTGCTTGTTTGACGTTCCACTTATAAGAGAAAAGACACTTAAAGTTTACCAATTTTTATTACACCCTAGTAGTGTCAGGTATGAGTAATTTTTTCAAGAAAATAAATAGAGCGCTATTTTTTTTTCTTTACGTATTTCTAACTTTCCATTCAAAGGTGAGCTGCTTGAGGAGATGCCTGCACTAATCATTATTAGACATCTTTTGCCTTGAAATGGGATAGAGGGTAAGCTTCTTCCCTGTTCAGATCAGGATTTTTAAGGTTCATACAAATCGTTAAATTTTGAGATTGGTGTTGGGGATGCAACAGTGACACCA